AGTTTGGCAGAAGATTGGAGTGCATTAGCCGCGTCTCTAGCTGATGGCTAAAACCCGGCTAGGCCGGGTATTATGCAAGCGAAAAGCCGAAAGTGGCAACTCTCGCGCCATGGCGACAAACACCTCTTAATGCTGCGATATTATCTCCGGCGGCGACAAGAAACGCATGAAGTGATTAAAATCGCATAAAAACTTAGCACCCGAAAGCCGCGGCCACAATCCCAACCCTTTAGATACCTACCATTCATTTTATTCACATCCACCAAAGTAATATATTCATTTAGAAAAATTACACCATATAGGATATGATACTAGATATTATTGTTAATAATGCGTTAATAATGTTGTCGTTGCAGCTTAATATACACAATTCGGGTCGCCATCGTAAATTCGCACCCTATGGTACGTAACAAAGCGTTTTCTCGCTAAATTATGCACTCTCGATGTGCCCGGATATGTCGAAACCGGTAGGCCGGATAATCTACCCTCGTCTGTCACCGTGTCGCGCTCGTTTTAGCGCACATTAGTCGGAATGTTAAACGATTCCCCATATCGCCCCAGTTGGCAGTCGGTACATGTACCTAGTCGTCGGGGTTCCGGATTGACCGATTTAGAGCCAAAGATGGCCGCCATCGTGGCCCCGAATAATAATACCGCATGTAGAGCGGCACAAATGCATGATGCATATGGCGCTGGGTGCGGACCTAAATTCTTAATCCAAATCCAAATCTACATCCAAATCCGAATTTGAATCCTTAGGTATTGCTGGATATTTTATTCGGGCCATCGGGCGCGTTTGTTAATCCACGTCAGCTGTCATCGGCTTAAAATAGTTCCAACAACATATTTAAAAAATTGCGTATTAAGATATTATGATTAACATTTGGATCATAATCGTGTAATTTGGTAATAAATTTATTTATTACTTTAACATTTTAAATTGCAAAGATTTTCTTCTTTTTCTTTTAAGAGTTATGAAAAAAATTGCATATTTTGCTAATGCAAATGTATTTTTTATCCGCTTGTAAGAAGAAAGTGCAAATCGTAGTAAAGTACAAATCTCCCAGGACCTGCTATAAAAAATACTAATGCTTACCTAACCACCAGCACACCAGCAGGGTTAGAAGAAGTAAAAAAAAACCGACTGGAAATAAGATTTGCGTGTTACGCTTGCATTGCGCCAGAAGTAAAACATTATGCAAACATGCAACTCGACGTTGATGCATCATGCATCGGCGCATCGATGATGAAGAGAAAAAATAAAATAATAAAAGAATTAAAACCGGGAGCGCGTTTTCCACACGCAGCACTCGCTCTCTCTGGGCGCAATCGCCGCCGGGCGCGCCCCGCAATCAGGGTGGTCGTGGATGAAATGCGATGCGACGGTGCGTAAATGCGTAACGCGTCCGGGGGATTATCTGCGCTCTTCTCTTGCGGCAAACACGCCGATTGTCCGAGCACAACTCGGCACTCTCTGCACACCTCACACAGGCATTATGCACGCATTTATAATTTCTGGATGTTTGCGAGCAGAGCGAGCGGGCTCGATTTCTCGTCTTATGGTTTTATTTGCGCAGCGCACACACAGTCAACAAGCGACTGAATACTTCGTATAGAATTGAGTCGCATCGGAAAACTCATCCGATCGTGATTTAAAGCGATCAGCGCGTAAACACGTTTAATATTTGCGATTCGTAACGCAATCGTTTACCGAGTTTTTCTTCTTCTCGGGAGAAAGGAGCCGACAAACGAGTGCCGATTCGTTATGAATGATTTAAAATTAAGATTATACGCAAATAGACATACTTTATAAAATATTTTCTTTATAAATGTTGCTGAAAACGTTTAGGTATTATGTTTTTACCTTTTACTAGGCTACAAACGATAGGAAAACGTTGAAAAATATTCAAATTTCCACTTTGATCAATTTATTTCCCACAAATGGTTGTTGACTATAGGCAACCCAACACACACATTTTACTTTCCTGCGCTCACGTAACCTCTTTGTTGTCATCGAAAAGTTTCAAGGAAATCAATATTTTCACGCCGCGCACCTGGAGCACCTGTTTACGTTTTCGCGTTTGCTCACTAAGCTAACTAACATTGTTAGTAGTGTATATTGTCCTAGTCCTATGTGGTCGCCATGTCATCCGTGCAGTTTTTGTTTGTTAATGTGAAGCGATCGACGTCAATATTGCGCGTTTTCAGAATTTCGTAGACTTGCATGCGGGAATGTGCGTCGAGATCCAATTGCCGGCCAAATATCCATATTAAATCTAAAAGTTTATGTTTTTTAGTTAACAAATATTAACAATATTTATTGTTTTATTATTACCATGATATCCTACACCGAGTAGTGTACTTGTACATGTCCAGATGATGGCGTAGTTGTCATAATCAGTATTGAGTACTTGATAGTACCCGAAACCTGGTAACCATTTGGCGACTGCGTTGGGCCATAAAGATGTCCGCCGATGCAGGAAGAGTGAAGATGCACGCCGGGACACTGTCGCCACACCTTCAACGTTGTTGGTGGCGCCGGTCCTGCATTAATTCAGTGTCGAAAAATAAAAACAAAGCAATCAAAAACGCATCGCATACAATAGGTCATGAATTAACAATTTTTTGCCATGTTGACACCAACAAAAATATTAATCTATTTTACCCAATTTAGATAGACTTACCAGCGATTGAGTATTGTAACCGATACGTTTGTTTGCTTGCGGTTTAATTGTTGCAAGTCGATTGTGGTGCACGTGGAAAGCAATTCCATGAGATGAAAACTTCGTTCGACTTCATACCAATGTCCGAAGAACTAAAACATTTAAATTAATTTTTATTCACAGGTTTTTATGTTTTGGTAATCTCACTCTTGACATGTTAAAGTCCCTGATGAACGGTTGACGTGGACAATTTCCTAATCCGATGCTGTTCACTACGCTTAGCATTAAAGGCACTAGAATTATAACAGTCGCGTATTTGTAGTAGAAAGCAGCCATTTTCTGTTACTTTCGTATAGTTTAATCACAATATTATTTAAGATTTTATGTTATAGTTAAAAAAAGTGTTTTAAAGAGTTTTCAGTGCGTTTTTCTCGTGATGTCGTGCGTCGCACACACAATTGTTGTGCTTATGAATACAAGTACAATGTATTACTGGACTATCACCAACGGACATGATGGTGACATCCATAAATTCATTAAGTTTCCGATTTAAATCGTGGTGTTCGATCGCGCAATTCGATCGCGAGTCGTCACACAAACATTGCCGCGTGCGCCGGCGAACAATAAAGGTGAAATTGGTCACGTTTGTTACGATGTTACGGACGCCTTTCAAATCGTATCTGTTGTTTTTGTTTCGGTTGCATCGGGTATCAGAAGAGACGAAAAAACCGATGCGTACTTGCCGCCGCACGACCGAAATATCAACATTCAGATAGATATAAATAAATTAAATACGAATTAATGTTTAGTAATTGCTTGTTATCGCGCTGCGCGAGTTGCAACATTTACGCGATTAGTGAGAATGCATAATCTATAAGCAAGCCTGCACATCGTCAGCGATTACGGCAATTTGTATATGTTATTGACGTCATTTCTACATGTTAGAGAAAAGCAGTTGCAGATTTATGTTTGAGATAATTCTAAGTGTAAATGAGAACAACACATGCATTTAAATGCTTTGAAACTGCACATTTTAACGGAATAACTATTATTTTTTTAATTTTCTTTTTATAGTTAAGTAAAATTGTGGGTTTTCTTTGGAGTAAGGACTAAATAACATTATTTAACTGAAGATGTTTAAAAATACAAAGAAATAAAGTGGGAGTTCACTTATTTGCCTCAACGGCATGGAATTTGTCAAATTAACTCACGTTAAACATCTGGTTCTCAACATGTTTATGGTCAGGTTGTGTAGGTTCTGTTGAAGTATTGTTTTCTTCATCAGAACGAAAATAGACTCTTGTGGGTCTAATATTCAACAACAATAATAATATTATATAATATATTAATTGCCCCAGCAAACTTTGCATCACTTTAATTATAAATGTTGTCTTAAATTAATTTTAAACTTGGTTTTATTAAATTTTGTTATTAAAATCAAATAAAAAGACTAGTTGATGACTTAAAAACATAATTTGGCGCACTAGTGTCTAAATATGAAATATTATACATCAAAAAGTTAAAGTTTAATTTAAAAGTAGCAAATTTTTTAACTTTTTGAGTAAACTTAAGAAAATTACACGAAAATTCAACAGAATAATGTAAATAATAACTGAAAAAGATATCTAGATATATAATTAAGTAATGAAACCTTTACTATGGGTTTGTTTTAAAAAATATAAAGGTGAAATTTAACTGCGTAAATATGAAAATAATGAAAGCGCACATCTATGCGCGAAGGAACACGAACAGATTAATAAATCATACACTACACAACGAATCGAGCGTTGTGCGTGTGGTGCGTAATCGCAGTGTAATGATCGACTGCTTCCTTTCGTCTCATGAAGAAAAAAAAAACACGATGAAATCTAGGTCTACCGCCAAACTATGGCCAAACTTTTGTTAAATTATTTCCGTACTTTCTTTTTTAATATCAGACTCCACTTAAATCTAGCAGCCGAAATATTGAATGCAAAACAATTCAACATTTTACGCACAATGTGGAAGTAACATAAGAAAAGAAACTTTTACGGTTAGTTTATAATGACGTGAAATAAGCTAATTGTTCACCGCCACGCATGTTTTTGCGTTTCACGCGGCGCTTGCTATGCTGAAAATGCCGTCGAGTTCTAAATCAAATTAATTAAGATCACCGCGGCGCATTCCCATGGCATGGCACTCGGAAGAACAGATGCCGCATTGCAATTTGCGGCGAAAAGCACGCATTGTGAGACGATTATGATGAGATCGCGCTCGGCGCTCACAAGCGACCAATTTGAGCGGAACGCAAACTCAACTCAACGCGCAATGGTACAGGGTACTGAAAAAGATGCTGCGCTCCAGGTGCGCGCGCGAGTTTCTTGTCCCTCGTGTGTGAGAAACGCGCCGAGATTGGCCTTGAGCGTGGGCATTGTGCGTCTCCGGCCACAAACAACAACCAGCTCGGATATCGGATGGCTTAAGTCGGACACAGGACGCGCGACTCACTCAAGTGTCGCGCGCTCGCCGGAGTTTCCTGTTTCTTCATTATTGCGTGTAGTTATCGTCGCGTGAAATATCGATTTCATTGAGTGTGTGGTACGCGCACACGAATCTCGCCTCCTCGGGAGCACCACGGGTAGTGGAAGAAGAAGTCACGGCCCGCGGATCGCGTACCGCGCGACCGAACGTGAACCATTCGCCGCGGAGCGTCCCGCAACGCACGCTCGCGACCCAGCCGTGATTTTTATTCCTATTCCGTGTGCTTACCGAAGCCGCAAGCCGCCAGGCGCTCACTGTCTTCAACTTGTTCAGTTTATGTTCAGTTCCTCGGCGTTGTTCCAGCGAGATGCTTGCACGTAGCAATGCGCACGACGCTCCAATACCGACGACAATGTGATTTTTTGCAATTGTCGCAATCCAAGACGCGCTAAAGGACATTCGACAAGAAAATGTAGTTGTTACCACTAACAACTCACTCCATTCATCGGTGAGTGCTAGTTTATCGTCAAAGCTTACATCTGCGAATAAATACCAAATAGGTAACGGTCAACTTTTGCATTGTTCGATAACAACGTTTGAAACATTGATTATTGAACAATTCCATCGATTTACGAGCGTAAACTGCGATTGCGCGAATAGAAAACTTCAACCGTATGGCAATCTAAACCAATATACCTACAAAATAACAACAATAATAAGTTTAAATTGTTGATGTTTCAGGATAAAATGGATAAATATTGCATATTCCTATTGATTCTATTTGTTTGCGATGCTGCGCCGGAGGAAGAAACCTCCACAACGCTGGAATCCTTCCATCTCAACTCCGACACGACGCCGTCGTGTGAATTAAAGGAAACCTTCCTCGGCAGTAAGAAAATCTACACGTGCACGAATGTGTCCGGCAGTTACCTGGAGTCCCACTCGCACCACACCAATCGGTCCGAATGGTTCCACTGCTCGCAGTGCACCCTCGCGACGCTCACCGAGCGCACCCTGCACCGCTTCGAACCAAAGAACCGCATCCTGTACCTGAACGTATCCGCGTGTCGCGTCGACGCTATCGCCGACTTTGCTTTCCGTGAAATACCCAATCTCAAACTGCTCCTGCTGCGTGATAATAATCTCACGAATCTTACATCTGCTACGTTTCATTCACTGCGCAGATTGTTGCAACTAGATTTGTCGCGGAATCAACTTGAGGAGCTTGTGGATGACACCTTCGTCCACTTGGGAGTGTTGGATATTCTGAATTTGAACTTTAACCGGCTGCGAACGCTGCAGCCGCGCGCGTTCGCCGGCATGAAGGAGTTGAAGTACCTGTACTTGAGTTACAATCGCATTGGGAACGTCCATCCGTACCTGTTCAAGGACCTCATCAACTTGAGGATTCTCTACGTGGAGTACAACCAAATCAAGGAGATAAGTCCGTTGGCGTTCACGAATCTCCAGCGGCTGCAATACTTGTATCTCAATCATAATACGATTGAGTTTTTATCCGAGTACAATTTCAAGGAGTTGGGCGAGTTGGTGGATCTGCAGATGCGTGGTAATGCATTGAACGAGATCTGCACGAGCGCATTCAATGGTCTGCGCAAACTAAAGTTCCTATATCTTGGCGATAATAATATTTCCACGCTGGCGCAGCATTCATTCACCGGTCTTGACTCGTTGACCATTCTAGATCTCACCAACAACTCGCTGAGTAGTTTTTCGTTAGAGTTTCTGGTTGACATGCCGGAACTGCGGGGCTTGTGGTTGGAGAATAATCGGATTGAAGCGTTACCAATCGCGCGCAGTAATAAAACTCACCGCAACTTGGCTAGCTTTGACCTGAAACAAAATCGGTTAGATTATTTCAATTACAAGATGCTGCTGAAGCAGCTCGAGTGTTTGGAGGAAATCTACGTGGGAGAGAATCGGTTTAAGTGTGAGTTTTTCATGCCGATGTATGATTATTTCGAAGAGTCGAATGTCACGCTGTGTTTGGACGCGCGGTGTGATAAAAATAACACCGTTTGGTATACGGAAAAACTGTGCAGGTTAAGCTATAATGCCCAACCGGATGATAACGCGAATGTTGATGAAGTTTTGAATGGCGGAGATACAACGGGGAGAAGTTTTTACATGCACCTGACGCACCTGATTTATTGTTTAGTTTTTGTACGAGTATTTGTAGGGAAATAAAGCACTTTTCTACCTCCTGAAAACAAACAATTTTAAACACATTTGTACCATCTAGTGAGGATTTCTTTATAAGTTGTCATAGTAAAACATCTGTAGTAAATTTTGTTTACCGACTTGTAATGTAGTTTCACTATGTGTCGATAGATGTCGCAGTGCGCATCCAAACTTTGTTGTTTCTTATGCGCAGCACCCCCGGCTGGCTGCAGAACGCGCACCGCGCACATCAGTCAGCGAACGGCCGCCGCTGCGCTTGTAGCGTCGTGCGTCCTAGCGGGTTGGTGCACTGCAGTGTGTGGAGTGTTGTTGTGTGTGCGTTTTCTATCAAGCATCGCGCGTTTCCGCTGAGATAGCGAGCCAGAAGGACTGCATGCTGCATGTTGTGCGCGGCGTGAGAATATGGCCGTCGGTGGTCGCCAGCAGCAGCGGCCGACGCTCGTCGCCGCATGCCTGGCGTTGTGGTGGTGCTTGGCGATAATACGCACGGATATCGTCGCTGGTGCGTCCGACTCGCGACAAGGTATGTGTACAACTAATAAACACACAACACTATCAAAACAAAATGAACGAGTGTGTTGTGTGGTTAGAGGTGTAACATTTAAAGGCGATTAAAGACTATTAGCTTAGCTTGGCGACAAACCACAAGCGCACAAATCTATCCGTTAACTTAATGTGGAGCACACATACGCATCTACGCCAGCATACAGTTGCTCAGTCGGTGACTCCGGGGAGATTTGCGGCTGAAACGACGACGAGCGCAGACCCGGCGTTTCGTAATTCAGGCACGTAGTTTTTCGGCTTTTTATGCGTTTTTAAATCCGCTCCTCGCTTTAGCTTCGGGGTGCTTTCAATTTAAATTTTAACGAAACGAATTGAAAATCAATCAGCTTTTTCTCGCCCCAACTTATCAATCTTTTTGATGTTTAATTCGATCTGAATTTATCTTAATCTATAATCCAGCATAAACCGGCATTGAGAGTCGTGAATAAGGGTAAGAGTTGGCCTGACAGGCGACACTTGTGATTAATTAGTTTTATCAATTTAGTTCAACGTACGCCTTAAAACTTTCATCAACTAGTTTATTGATGATAAAAATTGATTTCGTCTCATCAAATATTTGTTATTAGTGTAAATATTTCAAGTGTCGAGCAGGTTTAATTTTTTCTTTTGCATGGAATTGAATTGTTGTGCAATTTTTGTGATAACTCAATCATATCTTGATAAGTTGGGTAAACATGCGACGATTATATTTTGTTGTTTGCAGTGCAATTTTATTTTCCATCAAGTTTAATAACGTGTATTGTTCTTTTGTAATTTATGTGAATTTCGATTGTTTTCGCTAATCAAAGTTGTCAACGAGTTAATTTGAATAGATGGCGCTATTTTGTAAATTGTGACGTCAGTATCTGCGCCAGCAGATAGAGGAACCGCCGAACCGATAATATAATTGTTGATAATTGTGCGTTGATTCGAAGCGGAATCGCTCCGCGTCGCTGACATGCCGACAGAGCGGCACAAAGCCGCAACAGCACACTTTTGTCTCTGACGTGTGTCTCTCCTCGATGCCCTGATGCTGTGTGTATGTGTGTGGATATAACTGTAGTCGGCATGGAAGTGCGATTACGTCGAACAATGCACGCAATAACGCATTTGAATATATTTAAATGCGCCGAAGAACAACTCTCTGTGTCGCTATGGACAGAAAAAGCATTTCCGGTCGTACAGTGTCATACTAACTTCCAACAATGCATAGTGATTTATGTGTATGTCTGAATTTATAATGAAAAATCATAAAATGCGTTGGTTTATTTTTAATAATTGAAAAAGACATTAAAATTGTACATGTTTATGTTTTTTTGTTTATGCACGCATTGTTAAAATTTTAATTTATTGCTTTTAGTGTTTTTATTTTTATATGTAGTGCAACACTGACAGATGATTTAAGTGCGTATTGAAACCGAACTGCATGCAGATGGCATTCCTCCGCCTTCAGAAAAATAAAAAAAGGGCTCTCGCTAACGTAAGCAAAGTAAGAAAAAAGTCTCGAATGACGCACGCCCTCAGCATCGGATAACATTTTGTCGGTTCCTCTTAAATATAACTCTCTTGAGGCATTATATAAAAAAGGGTATAGTACTATATACTAGGCTATACTATGTTTATTAAAGGTAGGTCCTCGCTTGAATTTCGAAATTTGACAGGCTTTGCAATTGCCTATAGGTATACTCTACGTGTATGATTTATTTCTATTTCCTTCAACTTTGTGAGTTGTGTGTGTGTTTATATTTGCCGAGCCTGCTGCTGTTGTGGCAGCTGGCGATTTTATTTTTAGCCTGGTTGTTTTCGATTCAAAATTCAAATTTACTCTTAGAGGGAGACTTGTACTTGCATTGCGTATAGTTATTGTGGTAAACCTAAAATATGCACGATAATCGAAACAAGTGCAGCGATGCAATAAAGACGTCATAATCATTGTTTTGATGATCTTGCAGGCTCTTTGAAGGTCGTCTTGGGTATTCGCAGAAGGTTGCAGTACTCGAGGCTGCAGAAATTGCGCATTTGATGTTCATGCAGACTTTGTAACTTAACTGCTTGTCGTGACTTCTGAAGTCGTGATCGCCAAGTTGAATCTTGAATATTGCTATCGATGAAGCCGCAGTCGGAGCCTTGAACTTGAAATTTATAAAATTGTAATAAATAATTTAATAGTCTATAATTATATTTTGATAAAGATGTACTCAGTATTAGTGGTAGAATGCAGTGATTTTTTTAATATAAAAAAAATGGATGTTTGTAAAGTAGGTTTACGATCGAGATGTTTACGTGATAACGTCTTATTGGTGATATAAGTTTTGTTTGTTGCAATTGTTGTAACACTTCACTTGCACTTCACATTTTGTTTTACTGTTAAACATTCAACGAAAACTTAACCGCACGAGAAAATCTCCTTTCGTTTGTATGCCGCTAGAGTGAGAGAGACGGAAGATCGGTCAACTCACTCGAACGCTATGCCTGCCTCCGCTCGTGTGGATTTTACGGAATGACTGGCAGCGCTCGAGATGAGACGAGAGATCGGTCCGTCTCTCTCTCTCGTTATAACGAGAGGGGGGTATACCTGCGATCGACCTCGCTCGTGACACAGTTTCTGAACAGTCACCCAATAAAACGATTTTAAAGACGTTATCACGTCAAAATCTTTAATAAAGAGTAAAATCACGTTTGGCGATTAAAGAGATATTTGCTCGTAAAATCTCGTAAAATAACGAAGCTGCAAATTATCGCTGCATTTTAGTACGACGCTAGAGATGGCCTGCTAAGCTCGGCGTTATTTGTCCATTGGGAACGTGCGGTTTTGTGGCGACCGTTATTTAAACCCAATTTCGATTCAAACCATCAGCAATAATCCTGCTATGAGCGTATACACTAACACAACGCGTAACATGTTGTTCTTTGTTCACTTCTCTTGTTTATAAATTGAGAAATCTAATTAATGGGGCATAAACAAAACGCAAACGGCGCCCAAATCGCCAGTGAGGCGTTAACATCTCCTAACAGCTGCTCAACCAGCGATAATAATTCTATAATTTCTCTTCACTCACGCGCACGTCTCGTGCAGTTGCAATCTTTCACAGTAATTGAACTAATTGTCAGATTGATTAAGGTTTATAATGTTATAACAACGCACTGCAAATGCATACGAGCAATATAAATCGAGCTCTCTCGGCCACAACTTTCCTGCAAGCAATGGTTGCAGTGCGTTTGTTGTGTTTGTATGTAGTTTATTACCGGTAGAAGTAAGTGATGTGTGAGTCATCGTTGCTTCAGGTCACGGCATGGACATAATTCGAGGAGAAAACACGCAGCCACGCGAAGGAAATCAATGAAGAAAATAAAGCTGCTGAATTGTGGAAAAGGTTTTAATTAAATGTACAAGGAAATAAGTGTGCACACATCATTAACATTAATTTTTGTGACAAATTGTACATGTGAGACACATGTGTGTAATAATTTATGACTAACCATCTTTTTTTCTGTTTAGTTTCAAAGGATTTCGGGCGTCGTCATTAAAGTTTTGTTCATTGTAAGATGTTGGATTTTTAAAATGAAGTTCTCGGAATTGAAGTGCAAGTCAGAGTAAAAAATTGTTTACGAGTTTTAGATGCTGGAAAGGAAAAAAAAACGGAAATCGTTTATAGTGTTATTCTGTTTCGCTGGCTCAGCGTAATTTCCTGGCGCGAAAATAATCGATAAAACGTTGCAAATTGTTTACTGAAATGTTAACTGCACTCGCCGATATATAATATTAAGCAGATGCTTTCGCATTTATTAATAACCGTATGTAAGCCTCGTTGATAGGTAAATATACTCGTGGTTATAATTAGCGAATGTTTTAGGCTGCGATGTGAACGTGCTCGTTGTCTGAATTTTCACTAAATCAAAATTTAATTAGACATTTACTGGGTTTTTTACGCCGAAAACTTTAGTGGATCTCTGGATTGCCGGTAGAGATTGGTACAAGATTTCCAAGGAAGTTTTTTTTTCTTTCTTCGTGAATGCGTATCGTGTATTTTATTCCCTGGAAATGATAGAAAAGTGGAAACAAAGTAAAAACTTTTACTGCTTCTTTTGTCGTCTCGAAAGCATTGTAATGTCCAGCGATTCTGGAAGAAGCCGGCGTGCGCGTTTCTTTCGCTTCGGTGTAGTGTTTTTTGATGTTGCACTTCTTTCGCGTTTACACGTCTCCGGTTTTTTTTTTTCGTCGCTTCGTTTTCCCGAGGTGAATTGCGTGTCGCTGTGTTTGCCCAGCGCTCGTTTGACGCGACTTTCTTTTCGCGCGCGCAAAGCGTTGAAACGCTTTTATTGGCGTTAATTTACATTCGGACGAAATTTTTCGGGCGCAAATTTCACTACGCTCGGCTTCATTTCGTCGCTAGATTCAAATGATTGTAGATTTATTCAAGTCAACTCAAGATTCAAGAGGAAGTAAAATGTTAAACGGTGTGTGTGTGTGTCGCGTAGCTTTGGGAACATTCACCTGGACGCCTTAAAACAGCCCTCTGTTCATTTCTTTAGTTCAGGTCTGAGTCGAGTTGAATCGCCCGCTGCTATATTTCTTGGCCGTCTCGCGTTCATTACGGCCGGGGAGCCCGGGCTGGCACGCATCGTTTATAAAGTCAGGTCCGTAAAGCATTTTCTTGGTCGACAGGCAACCTGGCGCGGCCGAAAATGTTTGTTTGGAGCGTGCTTGGCTTTACGTGTGTGTGTGTGTGAAGTTAATAGTAGAGGGCGAAGCCTTCAAGGCTTACAAAAAGGTGAAAACAAGCGCGAAAGGCAATGGCGCGTGGCCACGACGCGCGACAACAGGGGGTCCCATTCTTTTTCAAAAGAAAAAAAAGAAAAGAAACCACCAGGGCAAGAAAAAAGTCACAACTTGAATTGTAAACTTTATTTTGTTATTAATTTTTTATTTGCATTTGGAGTTTGCACCAGACCAAGCAAAACATAACAATAGGGTGAAAC